GCCCTCTACCTCCGTATTGGTAACTCCAGTGCGCGGAGTTTGTCTTCCCTAGAACATGCGCGTGTAGAATTCATAACTCCCTCCTGGACATGCGATGGGAAAAAATGAAGAAATAAAAAAAACGGCGGCCAGGGGAGGGGAGAGAGGCGTAAGAATATTCGAGATATAGATGTTTGAAATTCCAAACTGCTTGACCCCCGGTAGATTGAACTGGCCGCTCATAGACCACGGAATACATATCAATTTTTCCCCGTGAAGACGTCCCTCGGGCATTGCAGTTTCGAATAAAGGTTATAAAGAGAGTTATTTTCGTTCTTTGTGTCGTATTTACCCGAGTCACAGTGACTATTTCCAATTTCATTGACACACGATTTTCGATAAATATTTAATAACCACAACAAACATTTTCTATTCATTTTAATCGTGATGAATGAGAATAAAAAAATGGGTGAAAAATGATTGGCCAACGGGAGCGGAGGAGAAAGAGAGGGAAGACGAATCGAGAGCGACGTGCGCTGACAAAGGCCCTTTTAAATTGTAATGAGCTGCCAAAGAGTGAATTATGTGCCGTCCGAGTGCCATCGGGGCCTCGGCAACTGAAAAACCCCATTCCCCCCCCCCTTTCCCCCTATGAATTCCCCATATATCGTAGCACATTTTGCCTTGAGTCCTGAAAATGAGAGGGAGAGAGAGGCCTGTTACACACCCCATGTCATGAATATATTTACATTGATCGTTCGTCTCAGCATTTTTCATTTGGTGAGGAGTCTCCTTGTCTCGTTGTTGATAGTGTATGCTGTCTATTTCATGGAGTATGCTTTATTTATCATGCGTATCGGACATTTCGAGAAAATCAGAAAAGGAGAGTAATCAAATGACGAGAATTCAATATTTGTTGTAAATCTCAAGTGTTTGTTTCAAGTATTGAGTACCAAGTACTTGGGACAAGGGTGAAGTAGATTTTAAAGTACGAAGTACTTTTTCAAGTACAAGGTGCTTTTCAAGTATGGAGTACTTCTGCAAGTACTTCGTACTTGTTCCAAGTTCGAGGTACTATTTCCAAGTACAAAGTACTTTTATCAAGTACGAAGTACTCTCTTTCAAGTTCACAGTACTTGTTGCAAGTATGAAGTACTTATATTTGGAATGTATTTCGCTGCAATACTCATCCACAAACCTTCACGGAAAGAAATTTTCGATAAAAATTAGACCTCCAGACGGCGAAACGTGGGACGAAGGTTAGTTTAATCGCAAAAATTAGACTCCCAAGTCTAATTTTTCCGACAAAACTTAACCTAAAAAGTGGTTGAATGTCATTTCGTCCCACGTTTGGCCCTCTGGAGGTCTAATTTTTATCGAAAATTTTTTTCCGTGTTCATAAATTCCACCCAACTAATCGCCTCTTTCACCCATAAAACAGCATCAACTTAGAAATGAAAATCGTCTGTGAAAATCGATTGAAATAGAGCAACTCCTCACCATCTGCCTCTACCTCCGTCCATCTGCATTTCTCGAAAGAGGGGGGTAGAGGGGGGGGGGCAGCTGGGTGCCTCAATACGACAGCACCCCCTGGCGAAAGGAGTCGTCGATCCACTCCTCCGTATTTCAAAACAAAAGGAAAGGTAAAAAATGAGAAATGAAACGTAAAAATAGTCATCTCGGCTTTTTGGGGGCCGTATAAATCATGAGAGGCGTAGCCCAAAGTGACAACCTCACTCCCGAGCGTTAATAAAATCCATGGGGTATGCTACGGGGGTGGTTGAGCAATTTACCCCCTCCCCTCGTAAAGAAAAGGGTCGAATTAAGCTGATGCTATTTTTTTTAATGCCTTCGTGGCTTGAAGACACGATTTTAGATCGACAGGGGGTTGCATTTATGTTTGATTTCTCGGATGATGTGCGTCCATTTGTTTCAATATGGGGCTGCTTTAATCACATTGTGGATGCGAATATTTTTTTTTACGTTGAGCAACGGGATTAGAAGCGTCGATGAATATTATTCCGACGTGATGCTTCAGTGGGAGTGAAATAGATTGAATTAAACCGCAATTTACATATCCAGGGAGATAAGACTTCTCAGCGGTTCATTGGTTGCACAGTGCCATGACGTAGTTATCCTCGATGTTTTAAAATAGAATATGCGGAACAAATTCACAACGACGAGGTTGGTGGGCCGAGACGTGTGGTTGGATCGCCCTGTAAACACCGAGGCGCCGCGGTGCTTTACGACGCGCCATCGAGTCACCCGGGTGCTTGTTTAGGTTTAGCCCTCTCCGTTGAATTTTTTCGCTATTTATGGGTGGAAAAAAGTACAATGCACGCAAACTCCTCTCCATTCACGTGAAACGTATATAATTCATGAATACATGATTTTAGAATTGAAAACAGCTGTGATAATATCGGGAGTGTATCACACCACATTATCAACTGTGTTATTAATTATTTCATTAATACATGTCCAATGTATTTTCAAGTATTGACGATTTTCATTGTTTGGAAAAGGCGTAAGTAACTCGAGTTTTATCGATGCCGACTATGCTCGATGGATACCGTGCAATTTTCCCGATTAGGATTAAACATTGATGCCACCGTCTGATACAGATTGATGTCCAGTCCGGAGACTGAGAAACTCCATTTCAACTTGACCCGGGGTAGATGTTATTTGTCTCGGGATAGATACACCCTTCGGATTTTCTCCCCCCCTCTCGTTTGAGATATGAGGAGGAAAATATGAGGGATATTGTCATTTACCACCTCCGGATGGGACGTACATGCGGATTTATCGAAATTGACCTTTAAGGGGTACTTGTTTAAAGTACTAAATACATTTTTGAAGTATCAAGTAGTTGGCCAAAGTACTAAATATTTGTTTCAATGTAGGAAGTACTTTTTAAGGAATCAACTTTTAAAGTATGGAGTACTTGTTCAAAGTACTAAATGTTTGTTCAAAGTATGAAATACTTTTTCAAAGTATCAAGTACTTGGCCAAAGTACTAAATGTTAGTTCAAAGTATGAAATAATTTTTCAAAGTATCAAGTACTTTTCAAAAGTGTAAAATACTTGTTCAACGTATGAGGTACTTGTCTAAAGTACTAAATACTTTTTTGCAGCATCAAGTACTTGATCAAAGTACTAAATAATTGTTCAAAGTAGAAAATACTTTTTTTAAGGAATTAACTTTTACAGTATGGAGTACTTGTTTAAAGTACTAAATACTTTTTTGAACTATCAAGTACTTGGCCAAAGTACTAAATGTTTGTTCGAAGTATGAAATACTTTTTCAAAGTATCAAGTACTTTTCAAAAGTGCAAAATACTTGTACAACGTATCAGGTACTTGTCTAAAGTACTAAATACTTTTTTGCAGCATCAAGTACTTGGTCAAAGTCCTAAATAATTGTTCAAAATAGAAAATACTTTTTTTAAGGAATTAACTTTTAAAGTATGGAGTACTAGTTTCAAGTACTAAATACTTTTTCAAAGTATCAAGTACTTTTTAAAAGTATGAAATACTTGTTCAATGCATCAGGTACTTGTCTAAAGTACCAAGTACTTTAGACAAGTGTGAAGTACTGAAGTAATGCAGATTGATGTCCAGCCCGGAAACTAAGAAACTCCGTTTCCACTTGACCCGGGGTAGATGTTATTTGTCAAGGGGTGAATACAACCCCTCGCATTTTCTCCCCCGTCTGAGATATGAGGAAAATATGAGAAAGATTGTCATTTACCACCTCCGAACGCGCGCAGATTCGGATCTTATCGGGAATTCACTTTCTCAAAGTTTATGTGTAAAGGAACATTCATCTGGAGAAAATGATTCGGAGGGTGTGGATGGGCAGTATTTTCTTTCACCCCGTCGTTGCATTTAATTGTTCATATGTTTTATGGCTTGGAAAATTATATAATGAAATATACTATAATAAAAATAATACTATGTTAGTAATCATTAATGATGAATCACTATTAATATTTAACGTCATTAATTTGATGTAAAAATGAATAGAATTTTTCTTTAAAAAATATAATTTATTTTCCCGAAATACTCTCATCATTCACAAATAGTTGCCGACCAGCAACAGATTCATGAATGCGTGCAATTCTGCAAGCTGGCTCACACGTGACCCGTAGAACAATGGGAAATACGTGAGCTGAAAAAATCCAACCCTCGGATTAGCTTTACAAATATGAAAAAAAATCAGGGGGAGGAGTGGATAAGACAGAGGTTTGAGGTTATGGCTCGTTTAATACCGCAGGAGGAGGAGGCATGTGGTCATGGGGTCTCACTGGAGAGATTAATGTGTCATCTCCTATCGCGAATGATTGACAGTCATGTGACCACGACAAACGTTGCCGACATCTCGGGGTAAAGTATTGACCTTATCCTTTCGCTTGTTGTCAACTCGTAGTTTCAGGGGGTTTTTTAAGGATGGAGAAACAATAGATTTTTTTATTCTTAGTTTTTCTTTTCAAAAATAATCGAGAGAGTGAATAAATGAAAATATAAAATAAATTAAAGAATGAAAAATGTATCTCGTATTCCGTAAAGAGATGTTTTTTTGATTTTTTATTTTTTATTACTTTTTGCGAAAACAACAGATTGAGGCCCGGTTCCACCAGCTCCGGGTAACGAAAGCGTCA